CCGCCTTCCTGTGTCAGGCTGCTGGCCTTGAACTCACTTATCCTTATTCAAGGTCTTCTCCAGCTTGAATACCCAGTGGTTTCATGGAATGTTTTTAACTCCAGGTCCATGGAGCGTGGGCAGGCTTCCAGTCCATGAAACCCTGGTGTGAACATTTCTTTATGATGAGCCCATAGCTTCCTTAACTCCTCCAAAGTGGTGTGTGTGTTGGGGGTGGGCGGTCTCCCTGCTGGCCTAGGGTTAAGTCTCAGCGCTCTCACCACTATGGCCTGAGCTCCATCTCTTGCCACGGAGCTGACCCACATGGACCAGCAGACCTCTCCTGTCTGGCCGGCTGCTCCCCTCAGCAGTGTATTTCCGTCTCTCTGCCTGTTCTGCTCCCCACTCTGTCTCTGGTGAATCCTCTCACCCCCTGCACCTCTGGACTGTACCCCAGTAAAAATAAATAAATAAATCTTAAAACAAAACAAAACAGGGCCCTCCCTTGTGGCGCAGCCGGTTAAAGCACAGCACTAAGAAGCTAAAGCGAATTCTGCATGAGTTCGATTCCCGCCTGCCCCGGAGGTGACCACATGGCGCGGCAGACCTCTCCTGACCCACCCGCTGCTCCCCTCAGCAGTGTGCTTCGTCAGTCCTCCTGTCCTGCTCCCCACTCTGTCTCTGGTGAAGCCTCTCGCTGCCCCTGAGCCTCTGGCCTGTACCCCAGTTCTGTATGCACAAATAAATAAATCTTAAACACAACACAAAACAAAAAACCTTCAAGGGCTCTTTGACAGGGACTCTCAGCCTGCCTGCTGCGCCAAGCACTGTTCTCAGCTGTGTTAGTTAGCTCACCCAGTCTCACATCAGCTCTCAGGGGTGCAGAGAGATAACTGCGCAGTAACTGGTGACTGGGTGGACTTGGGCCTGGGGAGATGAAGCCTGGACCTGGAAAAGGGGTTTCCCAGCGCTGCAGAGGCCCCGTGGTGTACGAGTAACCTGGGGTGTCAGGCTCACCTGTGGTAGAACTGCTTGTCTTGTTTCTGCTGCCCCTTCTGCAGAAAGAGATCTGCGAACCCCAAATGCCCCAGGCTGCTCTCCTGGCTGGCCTGATGCCAACTGGAGGCAGCCTGGAGTTCCAGAAAACTGAGTTTGGACGTAATTACACATGGCTTAATCTAGTCTGGATTCCTTGCCTTCCTTTTTTTTTCTAACTAAAAAAGAAAACTGATTTGGGATTAGCTCATTCTCCCTCCTGTTTGGTTCCCGGATCTGAAATCCACCCTTAAGTCTCCTTGGGAACTGGGGCTAATCTGTGCAGGATTAATTTACTCCATGTATTCAGCATAAGAAACCATCACTCAGGAGATGAACACAAGCCAAACTTTTTTCAGATCAGGGTTGACCTGGAGGGTGAAGCTGGTCACAGCCAAGCTTGCTGGGAGAACAGGTGCCTAGGAGTGACCAGAACTGCCAGGAGCCCTTTCCTCTGAAGGAGCTGGGCTCTGCTGAGGGCACCCTGGTGGGCACATAGCTCACTGCCTTGCTCTACCTCTTCCCGGGCTTCCCTCTCCTGGGGTGTAGGAGGTGGTTTTAAGAAGTGCTAATTAACCGTCTCATAGGATGATATTTAACGGTAAAGCTGCTGTGAAAACCCGTATGTTGGCAATTCACATCATTAAAACAGGAGTATCCTCTGACTCAGCAATTCCTCCTATTGAATATAAACACAAAAGCACTGAAACAGGGACTCAGATACTTTTCACCACGTTCTTCTCAGGGAGATTCCCAGCAGCCCAAAGGTGGCAACAACTCAAATGCCTGCTTGCAAATCAGAAGCCATCTTTTAACACTCAGGATTTGTTTTGTTCTTAAAAAATTGTGTTTAAAGATTTATTTATGCTTACAGAACTAGGGTACAGGCCAGAAGTGTGGAAGATGAGAGGATTCACCAGAGACATAGTGGGGAATAGAACAGGCAGATCTACTAAAATACACTGCTGAGGGGAGCAGCGGGCCGGTCAGGAGAGGTCTGCCGCACCTTGTGGGTTAGCTACCTGGTTGGGGATTGAACTTGTGCTGCAGTGGCCTCTGAGAGCTTCATAGTGTGGTGTTTTAACCCTTTTGTGCCCTTGTTCTTAAAGTTTTAATCCAAGTTTGCAGACTGGGAATTGGGACCCAAAGCCAAGAAATGGCCAGACCAGCCCTCCACCTGTATTGGTTATCTCCATATTCTGAGTTCTTTGGGGGTTTCCCTCACTTCTTCCTGTTTATCCCACTTTCCCTTCTTTTCATTGCAAAAAATTCCACTCAGTTGGAATTTTCCATCTGTGGGAAAGATTTGGAATAATATGACTTGTAGATTGAGCAGCACTTAAACAGTAAAGGCAAATCTTGTCCCTTCTGGTGGGGGAAACATACCCAAGCCAGAAACAAAAGTGATGCCATCTTGAACACCTGAACCTTGCAGGAGTTCCAGACTCTTCCCTATGAAGATGGGTGTGTGTGCCTTCACTGTGGAAAACACAAGAGGGAGAAGATCCACGGCCACAAAACACCAGCTCCTGCAACACCCAGAAATCCCTGTAGCTCACCTTTCAATCAATATTGTCCTCATTTTTATTGGACATCCTTGTATATAACTTATCTGAAAAATGGGCACCACAGCACAGAATTTCACAGTCTGGTTCACAGCTGAAGTACATTAACATTTCTCTTCTATAGCAGTTAAAATAATTGCAAAGTGTAGAAAATATAATTAAGAACTCTTGCTGGGGAAATTTAGGAAACATGTTTCTCCAAGAAGACTTCATTCTTTTTATATCTTGAGAAAAAAGGAATGTCCTTGTCTCCCATAACTTTGCGGATAGACACTTGCCCTCCAACTTCGCTTTTCAACTGGCTTCTCATCATCTTCATCACTTAAGTCATCTTTTCTATTTTTTCCAATCTGTCTCCCACTTGCTTCCCATTCTCTGCCTCATGTACTTGGTGCACCCCCACCCCCCCTTACCCTGGCCCCCTGGCCCCCAAATCAGCCCCTCCCTTCTCATTCACTCTCCTAAAGATGCTTCCTTCCCTTCCCTTCCCTTTCCAAGACATTGTCTTGATGGATTTTGAAAGTCTTTCTTCAGAAAGTCATCCTCAGGATAGGCCTGTAAATCATCTGAAGGTAGCATTTAATTGTTTACAACACAGGGAGTCTTTGGTAAGGTCACACTTATCGAGAAATGCAGGACTTGGACACAATGCAAATAATGCAAATAATGTAGATAGAGCTAACTTTTAAAATTAGTGTTTGGGGGCAGGGCAGAAGAAAGTAATTGGTGTCTTGAGGAAATGTGACGGACCCTTCTGAAAATGCAGTCACTATTTTGAGGCAGTTAAGTGGTCATCTCTCAGTCTGGATGCTGGAGGGCCAGCCTTTCCTGGTCATGACACTGGCATGACAAATGTTGCAGGTAAATGTAGATCAACAGGAACTCTGAACAGTAAGGCACAGTCCAGCCAGCACCAGAGTGCAGCACGCAGACCATGTCAGCGCTGGAGTCCTGGAAGCAGCGAGACGCTCATCCATCACAGTGCCATCTGGAAGGTGGGGACACTTGATCACTTCAAGAAATCCCTTTGGCAATTTATCCCGAGCCCCCACACCTGTCATAGCCACATGAGCCAAACCCAGCTGATGAGCAGAGTAATCTTACGGGATCCACAGTATGGGATTCAGACTTTCCTGGAAAAAAATCTTTCAGCAAAAGTTGCTGTGGGCCTACTGTTAACTAGCTCTTCCAGGCCTTTGCGCTCAGCCTGGTGCTCTCCTTGGCCATCTGTGGGTGGGGCAGGGCTTCAGCTCCAGTGATAGGAGCCAGTACTAGGATATCAAGTTCCAGGAAAATAATAGAAAAGACCCAATCCTTGCCTGGGCCAGGGATCCCATTTTGCACTCACGTGAAGCATTTGCTTTCAATTCTAACAGCTATAGTGAGAACTGCTAGGCCTCTGACCTTGGGTGCCCCTGGAGATCTGGTTGAGGTCAGGGAGGGATGAAGTGAAGGAGGGGGAGCCCGCTCCCTGGGACTCTCCTCTAGGTCCCTGCCCTTCTGTTTTCTTCCAATCAATTAACATCAGTAAGGGAAAGAGTCCTATGACCAACGAGGGGGACTTGGGCATCCATGCAGGGCCCTTTGGGGTTCATGAAGAGATTACCTCAGAACAAGAGTGGGGTCAAGTCTCTGGTGGAATTTAAGGGCCTTGATTGGAACTGTGTGCCCCAGCAATGCTGTTGGGGTGGATGCTGGCTATTCCTCCCCACCCCAACATGGTCTGGGTCTCTCTGCCCAAAGAAAAGGGACTCCAGAGAGTACTTCTTGTTTAAGAGACACGTCTTGTTTATTTTCCTTAGACTAAGTTCATAAACTCTACATGTCAAATAGACATGAATAATTCTCCACCTGAGAGGCAGCGTAACTAGGCACCTTTCCAGGGAGGAGACCTCAGGGGCCAAGGTGACTCTCCCGTCTGGTGTTCTGGTGCTTTTACTAGCATAACATTGGCTGCCAGACTCCTGAAAGCCACGCAGAGGGGACCCCATTCATTCAGTGCCCGCAGGCGACAGACTAACACAGCGCTCAGAAGGAGTAGCAGGAGTAGGCACTTACCGCAGCCAGGTAGAAAGGCCTGAGAGAAGCAGTGCAGCTGGCCGTGCCAGCATTTACACAGGGAGCACCTCCTGGGGAGCCAGGTGCCGTGGGGCACAGGCCCACAGTTCCTGGGAGTGAAGGGACAGAGCGGATCGATCGATCGTAGGTATTCGAGGGCCCCCACTTCCTCCCCTCCCCACCCCCTTCAATGGCTTACTCTTTGTGGACATCATGCTCACAATTTCGTCCGTAGAAGGAGGGGGGGCAGGCACAGAAGGACCCCAGCATGCAGGTTCCCCCATTCAGACAGCAGGTTTTGTTTAGCTCCTTAGCTGAAATGTAAGACGAGGCAGCTAAGAAAGTGGGGAGGATGGAAGAGCTGCGTTCCCTTAGGCCAGTAAAGGGCAGCACAGCGCTGAGGGCCTGATCCTCGTCCCACATATGGGGCCTAAATACGGAGAGGGTCACAAGACCAGACTGCTTGCTCAGAGTTCCTTTAGCCACTTGTGCCCTGGAGCAGAGAAACCTTTCTCAGGCACAGGCCAGTGGTGGCTCTGGTTGTGCCCAGCAGGAAGTGAGACCAGAGGAGGGAATCTGCATAGCAGAGAAGGTGTGTAGCCTCCACAAATAAGATCGGCTACATACCCCAGAATGGGGTGCCCTGTCTCATCGGTGAACAAGGGCCAGTGCCCAAGCTTAGAATAGAGATACACAGAGGAACTGGGAAGCCAGCAGGTCTTACTGTCCTGGATTCCCAAGGATGGCACAAAATGGGAAGAACGAAGTCGAATTGCGGGTTCCTCTTGGGACCGAATACTGTCACTTCTGAAAGCCAGACCTGTGTGGAGGGCAAGATCACAGTGACCCATCAACAGATTCTTGGAGGCGTCTTTCAGGCCAAGTGAGAATTGTCAATGGTCAGAAGAACAAAAAGTTTCTCACCTGCAACTAATCCCAAACCAAACACTTTGGAAAGGACCATGACCAGAATCACACTGGGAAGAGGAAACCAGACATTTGTTAGAACAAAGCAAATAAAAGCTTTTGTTTAACACCTGGGTTTTCTCATCAGGAGACCAAAGACCCCAAGGAGAAGGTGAAGACCACTTCTCTTTTTCCTTTGTTTTTAAATGGCTCACTAGTTCAGGTAACAGCCAAAAGAAAAAGGATAATAAAAGCTACCACATACTCAATATATTACTTTCCAATATGAATTATTACTCCTTAGGCTCTATCAATGCTCATCATTTTGTACGTTTTTGTCCTCTCCTGTCTTTTCCTCTGCACATTATTTTTACATAAGAATTTTAAAACAGCTGCTTGACAGTCTCTGTAATGGTCAAACCACATTTTATATCTGATTTTATTTAAACCAATCATTTAAAGATTTTTCAGGTTAAAAAAATACCCCCATCATCCTTAATGGTTTTGCAAATATTCTACCTGTTTATACTTTTGATCTTCTCAGAGGCAGATTTTTAATTTGGTTGTAATACTGACCTTTTCTTCTGCAAGACTTGAAAAACGCTAGCCATTTCACAGGCAGAGACACTGAAATGGTTAATGGCAAAGTGGAACATAATTGTATGTGGGAAGTTCCAAGTCTTTTAGGAAAAACAGGAGCACATTGAGCAGCTTTGAAAGTTGAGAAAGAGAAAATCCAGTAACAGGCGTAGAACAAGATTTCCTAAGCTGGCAGGTTCACGGTCAAGATCCGCTCCTACCTGGCAGAGAAGCGCTCCATCTTCCTGCTGCCCGCAGCCCCAGCAATGGAGGGGAAGAGTGGCTTTAATTCACAGTCATTGCCCAAAACACCTAAAGGAAAACGCCTGTTACCTGAAGTGAAAAGGGGGAATTTAAAAAGAAAAATGTGCCAGAAGAGTAACAGGCTTTCCCCAGCGGGTCTTTGGAAAAGCAGGAGCCGGAACGTCCCGGGAGAGCGGGAGGTCCATCAGGTTTGGGTCCTAAGGAATATTTGGGCCTTAAGCCGGGGACTCGGCTTTCCGGGGTACTCCTCCCTCTACAGCAGAGGCCAGGGGTGGCAGGGAGAGCCCCCAGGAGGCGGGGAGGGTCACCAAGCCAGACTCCCCAGGGTGGCAGGTAAAGCTGTGGAAACAAAGAGAGAATGGAAAAGGCGGAGTCTGTAAAGTTGTGGTTAAGTAGCCCTAAACTCCCTACATTTAGTTTAGGGTTAAAAACATCTTTGGGAGGCAAAAAAAAGCAAGTCAATGACTCCCCAATTGGTGAATACAGCTTGGAGGAGAGATGAAAAGTTGATTGCTTTCATCAGGAAAACCTGATTCAAACTGGATATAGCTCTGCCAAAGCACTTGATATTTTATTGCCAAGTTTTATTTCTAGAAATTTGCTTTTATCTTTGTTTTTCCAGGAGGGTGAGCTCGGGGGAGTTGGGTGTGTGGGGAGAAAGGCTAGGTTAGCACTTGGGATGCAAGTTAGGATCCGAGGGGTTTCCTGACCTGGTGAGTGTAAATCCTAGGAGGACCTGAGCCAGGCGCTGGGGCGCGGGGTGTGGTCAGAGCTAAGGCAGCTCAGGTCTGCTACAGGGAAAAGCTGTAACCTCAGCACTCCGGCGCAGGAAGGTCTCTTAAACTCCCTTGCCATTTGGGGTTCACCTGTATTCTACCTCAGTCTCCTAGTGCCCGCCACGAGGCCTCGCCCACCCAGAATATTTGGTGTTTTCACCCACCAGGAGACACAGCCACTAGGCTCACCCGCCTCACAGCTCAGTTCTAGCGATGAAGTTAGGAGTAGGTTCTAACTATCACTTTATTTAATTTCTAAAGTAAAAGTCTGGTGTTTACCCTTTTTGCTAGGCACACAATTGCGAAGCGTCTATGTCATTCTGTTGTCCCTCGCCTGTTCATTGGCTTCCCGGGGGGCAGAGGACTCTGCATTAGTGTGTATCTCTGTGAACGTGCCTGGACCACAGTTGCTTCCATATCTGTCCCCTGGGAGAATTCAACTTAAAATTATGTTTTTCTGTCGCCCCTGACTGTTGAATTCCTGATGCACTCCAATAACTTGTGTGGCCTTGCAACTAGTTAAATGCTCCCAGTATCATGTGGAGATTCATAGAGAACTAGGGAACTTGGCCTGAAGTTCTGGAAGCTGGCCTGAGGAGAGGGCAGGGCAAAGGAGAAGCCCGAGGCTAAGAAAGTCCTGCTTAGGAGGGTGCAGGTCTGTGGGGGAACCAGCGGCAGGACACCACCCCATACGCCTTATCCAAAGAAGCTGTGGTGGAACTCTGAAGACTTGAACTTGGACCCCTGGAAGCCACCTCCCCATTTTCAGCAGCAGGAATGGCAGCCCCGAGTCTGGTGATGTTAATATCGCGGGGGTTCAGCTGAGTCATGGATGTCAGTTCTTCTCCCCCACAAAATTCCTTCTGGTGTGAGGATGAGGACCCCTGGACAGCAGTGCACACCCCACAGACAGATGCAGAGACTCAGTGTATGCCAGGGAGGCAGCCTGAGCGGCATGTTGGCATAGATAGGGGGATGGGAAGGGATGCTTGCGTGGCCAGATATTTGCTACTGGGCTGGTGACTCAAGGACTGACTATTCATTAGGTGTTTAATTAGGTATTTAGAGTCTCCTTCTCCAGCCTGTCCAGGGAGGGGCTCTGAGGACACAGTGATGCAGGTGACCCCTGTGCAACAGGGAAGAAAGCAGGTTGGGGAAGGAAGGAAGAAAGAAAGTTGTGGGCGTTACAGAGTGTAACTGTGGCCATGGACACCTCTGCATTATCACTGCTGAAGCTGGCGGTCGGCCGGCCTCTGACCAGCCTACCTCAGCCCCGAAGGAGGGCATTGACCGCTGAAACGGAAAAGCAGAAGCTCTGGGATCTCAGGTCATTTCAATATTGTGCTGCACTGCCATGATCAGAAAGGGGGTAAGAGACAGGATCGTGCTTAAAATCATACAAAGAAGCATCACTTGAAGCCATCCAACCGACAGAGTAAAGAAAGAAACAAAAAACCCATAATTAAAAGACAGGCTTCCTGTGTCCATCTAAATTCAAGGAAGAAAACAAATCTGGAGACGGGACAGATTTTGACTTTAAAAAGTCGATTAAAAAGAAAGCCGATTCAACCTTATTTCATTTTTTGAGGAAAGAAAATTAACATTTGATAAACTAAGCAGTTCATCCAAAGAAGAGTCATTTCTGCAGCAAAATAAAAGTCTCCTTTTATCACAGCACACCTAGGGTATCTTACCTCTGTCATTGTCCCTGGAACTTTCCGACAGGTGGTGGGTGGGGGAGATTCCTGCACCTGAGGAATGGTAGAGCCTCTAATCCCAAACTCAGCTACCAGCAGCTTCTGATAAACTTTTGCAGAAGTGTCCCTGGCCCATTCATTAACAAGTTAATGGCTTTCTATTTTCATTGGAGAATTTAACAAATAGCAACAGGAAACCTCTGTATTTGCCACAGACCTCTGAATGGGGTTTAGAAGTACAGGTTCTTGTAATCTCAGTGGTGAAGACAACCTCAAATGAGTAATTTTAGAAATTTATCTAAAAAGAAGCTATGTAAGAAGGAGGAAGAAAGGACCTCATTGGTGTGGCTGTATATGGGGACCAAGAAGATATGCATTCCTGTATAGACATAGCAATGAACTTGAGTTTCTGCACTTGCCTTCCATGGACCTAGTTCCTGCTAAATCCTAAGTGTATATCCAGCTGGTAAATTTCTAACACTGGAATTGCTTGGTTAGAGGGTGGATGTTTCCAAATTATTTCCCCAGAAATCTGCAGGGGTCTGCGGGCTTCTCCCTCCACCCCTCCAACCCCCACCCCACCCCCAGTTCTGTGTCTTTACCGCCTGGGTGTAACAAATATCTTAATGTTTGCTATTTCCATATGTAAAAAATACCCTCTCTTTTGGATTTTCACTGTTTCCTGGATGTTACTCCCCCACCCCCCCAAGACTTGGTAGGTAGAGGGAAGTGGAGCTGACTTTGTTTTTGAAACAACCCACATACCATTTGCTCCAGGGAAGCCCTTTGTGCTAAGGGCACCAGACCTGGGCCCCCACATCCTGGGGGGAGGTTTACCTTATCTTGTTGACACTGAATTGTGACTGCTTCTCCAACCTTTCACCAGTCCTTTCCCCTTAGATTCATCCCACAACCAAGAGGTCTAGAAACTTAGACTTCCAGAAAATGTCAGTCACCCCAAGCTGTAGTTTAGCATCTGCCGGTGCTGAGTTTTACTCCATCTGCACCATTTGTGGCCAGTTTCTAAAACGGAAGTGGGGCCATAGCAAGGGCTTTGGGAAGCACCACAGGAAAAGCACTTGCTGCTTCTATGAGAAGCCAGGAGAAAAAGAAAGAACCCCTCTTCTCCAGCAAAGGAAAAACAAAAACATACCCTAAGTGTCCAAGCCACACCAAATTGTGGGTAACTCTTCACAAGATATTAAATATGTATAACATACATATAGGCGCTTATACATATAATGTGTACTATATATGCTGATATATATTTAACAAGCTACTCACGAAGCAGTTACTAAAACCATGTTCAAGCAGGAAAGGTCTGATTTAGACTTACAGGCAAGTCTTTGATTTTGAATTTTTTTGTATCAAAAAAAGTTCTCTTTCCAGTCATCCTCAACAAATATTAACTGACTAGCTACTCTGTGCTGAGCAGCACAGTGAGGAAAGAGGTCTCCAAGGCTGGGAACCTGCTCCTCCCTCCCAAGCCCGGATAAGACAAAGACAGCCGTAAACTGCATCAAGTTCCACTTTGGTGCTATCACAGGGTTGCAGACTGGGGAGGCAGCTGCTTCCTGATTCCCTGCTGATGGCTGAGGCCAGGGCGCTGCGGACTGATGGGTCTGACTCCCAGGAGTTAGATGTAGGAAGGCAGGCTGGGATCCGTTTGCTTTCACAAGATTTGGAGAATCTCATTTAAAAGTGCTTCTTAAGTGGATTTTGTTTTTGATTACATCCTGACA